ACTCCGCACCAAAGTTCGTACGTAGGAGTAGACAAGCCAAAAGTAACCGTTACATAGGACGCAGATAGGATATACCTGGAGAGGTATGTGGCGAGACAGTTTGGTGAGAGCGCGGAGCCCCCGTTTTTCTCGTGAGTTCGGGGCACTCTCTCCTGCCGCTCTCTCTCCCTTCGTGCCTTCTCTATCGCGTGCTAATTCAACCAGTTAAACAGCAGCCCCAAGTCCGCACGGCAAGTACTGTTGCCAGAGCTCACGAACACGCTAGCGCTTCTTCCCGGGAAGATCTGCTTTGACAGAGCGGACCATGGCGTTGAATCAGGGTGACGCCGGGGTTCCAGCAGCCAGCGTCAACGACGCTGAACTGGACGCTCGGTTGACTGGCATGGAACAGCGATTAGGCGAAGCGATGGAAGGCAGGATGCAAGCCATGATGAGCCAGGTGATGAGCCAGCTTCCATCGTTGATGAGGGGAGCGTTGGATGTTGGAGGTGTTCAGCAGGAGGAGGAGTCCGGCGGTGACGTAGGGGCATCGACAGGGGCCAGCGGTGACGCTGCCGCCCCGAACAGCAGCCAGGGGTCCGCCGCGACGGGCACAGTGGGTGTAGGCGGCTACGGCAGAGGATATGGCTCCCAAGGTGAGGCAGCCGCAACCGGCGGTGGCGTTGGTGGTGTTTCGTCAGCGGTGATGTCGCTGGTGAGGGTCTTTTCACGGGAGGCGGCGGAATTCCGAAACTCGCCGCGTTTCACGTAAACCCAACACAGCTCAAGAAAGGGGCCGAGCAGTACCCGGGGTGGAGGCAGGATTTGATCGTGCAGGCAGGCATTCTCGACATAGGCGATGTGTTCTCCGGCGGCGGGGTGCTGCCGGACATCAACAAGCCACAGACCGCCCTTCTCGAGCAGGGGTTTTCGTATGCAGCAATCCGCAAGACGTATCTGGCGTGGAATTTCCTCTCTGCCGCGTTGACTACTGAGACGGACAAAGCCATCCTCCGTCGTTGCACGAACCCAAGGGAAGCCCCGCGGCAACTAGATGCGGCATACCTGCCGGAGACACAGGGTGCACAGCAGCAGCTTTTCAGAGAGTTCCAGCAGTACCAGACTCCTCGGAAGGAGAACCCCGTCGCCAGTTTGAACAAGCTCATGGGTATGGCCAACATGATGCGGCAAGGGGGCGGAGCCACGGTAAACGACCAGTTCGTGTTCGCCCGACTTATCGATTCGCTGCCCAACCCCGAATACGAAGTCACCAAGCAAACCTTGTCGGTGGTCCAACCGCTGACGAGGGATATCCTTGTACAACAGCTCTCAACCCGATTTAACCTTCTCACCGAGGAATGGAGGAAGGAAGGAGAAAAAGGATCCGGGGGGGAGCAGGCGTACATTGCGGGTGACGGCACCGGGAAGGGGCGGCAGGCTGGCGGCGGCCGCGGCAGTAAGAGCAACGGCCGTGGCAGCAAGAAGAAGGCGGGGACGGACGACCGGGTCGACCACCGGAGGTGTTTCCGGTGCAACCACCGCGGGCATAGGAAGCCCGACTGCACCACGAAGGAGGAGGACTTCCTGGAGCAGTGCGACACGTGTTCGGGCTTTGGGCACAACAGCGAGAAGTGTGCGACACCCACGGAGGAAGCGTGCATGGCGGTAGTGGAGCATGCCAACTTCGCGGTGGTGAGTTTCGAACAGCAGTACGACCGCGCGGAGGAACTGTGCAAGATGGATCCTAGTTGGGAGAAGCTGACCGAAGACGAGAAGGAAGCAAAGGTGCAGGAAGTGATAACTGAAAGTTTCTAGGGTGGACAGGTGGTGTTGCTAATACGGTACGGCAGGTTGGCCGTAGGCCCTCAGCGCCGCTGATTTGCGGTGGGGGGGGCGGACGAAGTCGCGCGGAGGTGGCGCGCAAGCACAGCATGGACAGAGGGGCCATGAAAGTCGCACAATTGACGGTGCGCACTCCATCTGCGGGATAGGAGGCGGTGGAAAGCAGGGACGGTAGAGTGACCGTTGGGCAGAATAGCCGGAGACACCCTACCATGGATTGACCGCGCGACGGCGTGTGGGGGGTGGGCGCCGCACTCGCTTGACGCGGGCGGTGTTTTCTCTAAGTTGATCACAGGCACGGCAGAGTGGCCGTGCACGCCCTACCACGGTTGACACGCGCGACGGCGCGTCGGGGGGTGGGTGCCGCATCACGCGTGAAGCGGGCGGCATTTTTCAACCACAGCACGGACGGAGGGGCCGTGGCTGTCCTGCCTTGCCGTTTGGAGCCGGGGGGGTAGCACTTGAAGTCGCGCGGAGATGGCGCGCAACCCAGCACGGACGGACGGGCCGTGGCTGTTCTGCCTCGTCGTTGGAGCGGGGGGGGGCAGCATGTTTTGTCGCGCGGAGGTGGCGCGCAACCATCAGCCGGAGGTGGGCATTTGGGGTGGGGCACAGCGATACGGCGGTGTCATCAAAGTCGCGTGGAGAGTCGCCGCGCGCATTTCATAAGCCGGGAAGGGACGATGGAGATCGGGATCGGCAGGATCGACTTGTGGACGATCGAGGGCGCGCTTCATCTTCACGATTGGAACTGGTGGAGTGGACGGGCAAGCTTGATAATTTTTCCGTGTGTTTTTCTTTTTTCGACGCCAGTTTACGGGTGTCGGTGAAATCCGAATTTTTCAAGCGTTCTTGATCTTGTTTCGTTTTTATTTTTTTTTGTCGTTTCTTTTGACGGTAATTTTTTTTGGTTGCCGAATCCAGCGGTAATTCTCACGTATACGTGTTGTCGTTATACATCGTGATGTACGCTTTGCGCTTCTTGACCATTTTTTTTGTTGTGTCGAGGGCTCATATCGGTGACAGGTGTGTCGGTGATGGTAGCAAAGTGGGGGGGGATGAAAACGTGCACGTTGGTAGAATTTGCCACCATATTTGGTGCGTAGTTCATGAAGGTTCAATCGCAAGTTGATGCATTCTTGGTTGAAGGAAGATCGAGGTTTTTGACTGTTTGCAGATTGCGGGCCTTGTTTGAAGGAGGCTTGACGTTTTGTTTCTGAAGATGGGTTTCGTGGAAAACCGGTTGTGTTTGATTTGTTCTTCAGCAGAAACAGGATGTTTGTGGTTTTGATTTGGTGGTGGATCGCGCTTGGCTGATCCGAAAAGAGGGAAAACGTACCTGTCTGATGAAGTTTTGATGCGGAATGCAGTTAGGCAGGGAGGGCGTTGCCCGTACATGTGTGTGATACACGAATCAGTGTTGGTGCTGCACAAGGATCTTGTTTCATCATTCAAGAAGGATTTTTGCCAGGAGCGTACCTCGTGGTTGGAGAGTAGAGCGTTGCTTAGAAAATCGTAATCCGCATGTTTGGTGTAAGTCGCTTTTGTTTTGATCTTGCAGTACAGCCGTTGGAATCATAGATGACATGGACGGTTCGTTTGATTTTGTTTGAGGCGTTGGACTTCGAGGGGTTTTGATCCGGCGCCCGGGTTTCCCCTTGGTTTTATTTTCCTCGTTGTGTTTCAGCTATTTTGGCATAGTTCCGACGCACGAGTGGTTCTTCGATGGTGCAAAGAACCAGGGAGGGTGTTCGTACGTAGGAGTAGACAAGCCAAAAGTAGCCGTTACGTAGGACGCAGATAGGATATACCTGGAGAGGTATGTGGCGAGACAGTTTGGTGAGAGCGCGGAGCCCCCGTTTTTCTCGTGAGTTCGGGGCACTCTCTCCTTCCGATCTCTCTCCCTTCGTGCCTTCTCTATCGCGTGCTAATTCAACCAGTTAAACAGCAGCCCCAAGTCCGCACGGCAAGCACTGTTGCCAGAGCTCACGAACATCCAACACCAAGGCGTGCCACGTAGGCAGCCTTTTCTTGTTGTCCTTCCAGAACGCCATGTGGCCGTACTCGATGTCTGTGTCACTGGCCGCCATGTAGTAGTCTTCCTTCTCCTTCAAAAGCCCCTTGACCATCATGCTCTTGACGAACGGGAGCACCTTGAGGCTGCGAATGGTGTCATCGGAGTACTTCTTGCTTTTCATGAACACGAAGTCCGTCAGCTTCGCGGCCTTGAACACTTCCAAGGTCTTGGCCTCCCTCGCTTGGGAGTGGCGTGCAGAGGCACTGCTGCTAGAAGAAGATGAACCAGCTGCAGAAATGGTGCCACCAGCGCTACGTTGGAGTGCAGAGGCACTGGTGCTGCTAGAAGAAGCCGAGTCAGCTGTAGAGACCCGTGTTGGATCCCGGGCACCGGCAGCCGGTGGTGTGGCACTGCCGCTGCCGCTGCTGCTGCCGCCGCCGCTGTCGGCACCAGAACCGGCGGCGGCACTGCTCGTTCGACCGACAAATTGCACCTCCTCCTTCTCCGAATCCTCGTCGCCACTGCCATTTTCCCATCTACTACCACCAGAGTAGGCTTTCATACCGGAAAGAGGCGACGGCATCGCACCGCCGTCCACCTGTGTGTGTGTGTAGCCGTGTGGATGTGCTGTCTCCTCCGGGGGGTCGCAAGCAGGGGCACCGTGAAATTAATCGGCGAGAATCGGAGACCTCAAGCCATGATTCGGCGGAGCCCCCTCCAAAAACGGCGCTACTTTTTGGTTTTCGGCGACAGTTTTTTTTTTCGGCGACGTATTTCGGAATTCGGCGTTTTCGGCGGTCGCCTACGGGGGAAAAGCCTATTCGACATGCTTGGTCAATATGTCCGCAAGTTGCTCCTCACTCCCCACGAATTTCAGCACAATATTTCCTTGGTTGATGTTCTGGCGAAGCAGCCATCTCGTGCTGATGAACTTGCTGCGGCCTCGAAACATGGTCCTCTGTGCTCAGTGCTCCCCCCGTGGAAGCATTTTTCTATGCAGAACGTCGGCACCAAAGAATCACCACTACCGATTTCATGTGCGCGCATTTTTACTGAGGCCGCCCGTAGCAAGGGTATTCTCATTGGCGTTCGACGAAAGACTGTTCGCGGGTACACACCAGTACAAAAAATGATGTCTGGCGTGAAAAACCACAACCCGAAAGAGAAGAAGGGGGGACTAACTCTCCTGGCCCTGCGGCCGCTAGTGAGGACGGGTTCGCCCCGGTCCTCACTGCGGGCCAGAAGAAAAAGCAAACGAAAAAACAGAAGGCTCACGCAGCGGAAAACGCTACTGACCCGTCAACTGCTGATCAACAAACGGCAGAAGCAGCAGAGGTGCTGACCATTGTCTCGGCTCTGAAAAAAAAAAGAAGAGCGGAGACAGCTCTAACGGGGGGGACGAATCCAAACAGGATTCAGCCGCCCGAAGCCACGACGACAACAACAACGACGACGACAGCGACAACTCCGGCAGCAACGACGAGGAGGGCGCACTCAGCGAGCCGGGCTCACGCGGCGTTGCAGGCGATATGCTGGATGACGACAACGTCCTAGGGGGGGGGCGCCTGATCCCGGACAGTGCTCTCGAGCGGTTTGTTGTGGGTGCGCTCAAACATGCGGTCAAGACAAAAACCGACCCACCCGGCTTTGTGATCCAGCTAGCGCTGGGAACCTCCATCCCCGACCCCGTGATCGGCCAGGTGAAACCTCGCCGTCTTAGTCATGAGTTAGCCCACGAAGACCTCACTGCTCGCCATGCCGCTGTCAACGACACCAACAGTAGTAGTACTCCGCAATCTCGAAACATGCAGATCACGGATTCTGTCTCGCTGTTGGCAAACACCCCGAACAACACAGGGGCAATGCAACACCGTGGCACACCGAAAAGCACCGCGGTCAACCCAAACCTTGACCTGCAGCAGTACAACCCGGTAGACCAGACGCACGCTAGTACGAAACGTTCACGCTCAAAGCTACGGATCTGCCTGCCTCGATCAAAATTGAAGGTAAAGCAGACGAGGACATTCCTGAAATGATGGCGCTTTATCGTTCGTGTATCAGCTTTCTATCTCAGGATGACGTATCGCAGCGAGAAATCGACCATCGTGCTATCAAACTTCATCTCGTAACGCAAGGTACAGCAGCACAGAGCCTCAACCTCGTACTCAGTTCAGCAATTGAATGGAGGCCTGAACCCATGCTAGCCACCCTTCGTGCCAGAGGAGAACCTGTAACACGCAGGCCGCCAAACACATGGCGTGAATGGATCACTGCTCTGACCGCTCTATTTGCACCCAACAACAGAATCGTGTTACTTGCTCGGGATGTCATGACCCTGGAGGCCGAGTCCGATGAATCTGTTGATGCGTTCGCACTAAGAGTGTCCAGAGCATACTCACGTCTGCTGGCAGAAGCTGAACGCACAGTTCCAGCAAACAAAACACCTCACGAACATGTCTTCGACAAAGCCATGATCGCATCGTTCGAGAACAGCCTCCACCCACACATCCGCACTGAGATGAATCGGAAATATGCCAACGAAACATTCATGGAATCCAAAGGACGAGCTCGAAAACACAAAGCTAATCGGTTGCAAGACTCACTGATTCCGTCCAACGATACCTCTTTTGCTGTATCTTCCCCGGAAACCAGCTCAGCAACCAGAACGAATCGCTGACAGCGCGGGTCAATGCCCTCGAGGAAGCCATCGAACACGGCAACCACGTCTCCAGCATCACCAAAAACACGAAGGACCGGTCGCGCGACAAGAAAGCCAAGAAAACCCCGGCAAATCGGGACAATAGCGCCAAAACGGTGACCTCGCGGAACCGCGCCGCCGGTCGGGCAGGTCAAGATGGGAAATCGACCAGCAAGAAACCGCGCACTCAACAACGGGAATGCGACTCCTATTTGTGCAAGCACACAAACGGGAGGTTCTCCCACAGCCGTGCGGACTGCCACCATGAATCTATCCTGAAAAAGCACAAGTTGACGATAGTGCGGGACACGTAGGGTTGTCCACGGAAGCTAGGTTCCTCGGCTGATGAGGGAAAAGAGTCGCTGGGGAAATACCAGTACACGGAACGAGGGGGGCCGAACACCAAGCCACGTGGAAATGTACCAAGTCGGACAAGAGGGATAAGGAGCACCGAAAAAGCGTGTTCACCCTCTGGTAGGAAGTAATCTTGAAGCAGACAAGGTGCATCGGAAAAAAGCAGCCGTAGTACTACGTGGTAGGCAGCCGTGCGTGATAGGTCAACAGTCGCGTAAGGCATGTCTCGACAGGAGTGCTCCAGTAGCAGCGCAGGTGGACACCGTTGCCCTAGTCAACAGTAGCGTTTAAGCCGCAACAGGCGCGGATAGAGTAAGACTATTTAGCGGTCGAACGAGCACCGCAGGCTCTATACGTAGCTACAGTAATGGAGGTCTCAAGTCGAAGCATAGGTCGAGAAGTTTGACTGCCGAAAATAATAATGAGTATTTTCTGCATTCCACATGTCAGCGCTAGCTGGATACCCTGAAAATCCATCTGCGTTAAATGCGGCGTCAAAACGTGTACGCATTCCTGGCAGAATCAACAATCAATCGGTTGCTGAAATTACAATCGATACAGCGTGTGACGTACCATGCATATCTGCACAATTAATGCGTCGTCACCAAACGCTGAAGAACACGGAAATATTTCCCGTGCCTCCCGGAGCAATAAATCTGCGAAGCGCAGATGGCTCACCTCTAAAAATTAGAGGATATACCCATTTTGAACTAACACTAGGAGAAATAACGATTCCTACCGAAGCACTAGTGTTGCCGTCGTTGGGACCCGATAACATGTTGCTAGACAATAGTATCATGGGGGCATTCGGTGCTGTGTTAGATTGGCAAGCAGAACAGCTGTCATTCAATAATTCAGAGGTAAAATACCCGCGACACACCGAAAAACAAAACAGCCCGCGACCGCATCGGCAGATGAAATTAATTGCTCAATAGTAGCTTTAGACGGTGATACAGAACCAGTGCCTGTCTATCTCAGCAAGAAATGCTGCGTTCCTGCCCAACATGAAATAGCAGTGGAAGAACATTCACTTGAGGCTCCGGCAAAAACAACACCGGCTTTAGTAGAACCACGCACAGTCACAACTGAAGACATGCAGGTAAAAGGTATTCCACAAGCATTTCCCAGGAAAAGAATAGCACGTACTGTGTGTCACTGGTCCGCGAACAACAAAGGAGCGGTGGTCCAAATAGCCAATCCCTCCAATCGACAAGTGTCCCTCAAGAAAAACACGCTTGTAGGGCACATCTCTCCCGTGAAAACAGTGCCGCAGACAGCGCGCAGTGTTCAAACGAGTAAAGAAGGGACGGCCAAACACCGTCAAGACCTACAAAAGGCACTTTCCAAAGCCTTCAAGAATACCACCTTTTCGCCAGCTCAATGTGAAGAGGTACTGCAATTGTGTACGAAATACCGTTCAGTTTTCTCATTAACGCCTGACGAACTAGGTAGATGTAATATTGCGGAAGCTGATTTTCCCCTCGAACCAGGTACAAAACCTGTAAACAGGGCTCCGTACCGCGCAAACCCACGCGTGCAAGAGGTGATCGACAAATACGTTTCCGAAATGGAAAAAGCGGCAATTTTCGAACAACGACCAAGCCCGTGGGGATCAGCTGTAACCTTGGTAGCAAAAGCTGACGGCTCTCCCCGGTTCTGTGTAGACTACAGAGCCACGAAAAAAAAAAAATGATTCGGACATCATGGCCGATGCCGGAAATGACTAGCCACATTGATACAGTAGCAGGTGCAAAAATCATTACTGTATGCGACGTACAAAGCGCGTACCACCATATACCAATCGCCGAAGAAGAACAAGACAAAACGGCATTCGCAACACGAAATGGGAAATGGGTGTTCAAAAGACTTCCCGAAGATACAACGTACAATGGCGTTGGCGTTTGCACATTTTGGTCCCAAATCCGGGCTCCTGGTGTACATGGATGACTTAATCTGTTGTTCATCGACATGGGAGGGACACCTAAAACTGTCGGAAAACACGTTCCAAGCTTTGCAAGCAGCAAGGCTCACCTTGAAACCATCCAATGTACAATTCGGACCACAAGAGGTGAAATTCTTGGGACACATTTTCTCATCAGATGGAATACGTCTTGGTGAGGATCGGATAAAGGCGATACTAGATATACCAACCCCAACAAACATCAAAGAGCTGCGATCAGTGCTGGGGACAGTCAACTATGTGCGGAAGTTCATTCCAAACTTGGCGACAATCACCGCACCCCTGGTTGACTTCACGGAAAAAGAGGCAATGAAGTCAGTGGCAAAACGTTGGGGACCGGAGCACAATAAAGCGTATGCGGAAGCAAACAAATTGCTCACCGCAGCTCCTGTGTTAAACTTTCCGGACTTTTCTAAAGAATTTGTAATTCATGTCGATGCTTCTAATGTTGGTACAAGAGCATTCCTAGCCCAACAAGATGGTGACGACCTGAAGATCATAGCATACTTTGGCCAGCGTTTCAACAAAAGCCAACTGCATTATTACTCAGCAACCATGAAAGAATGTTACGGTGTCGTTCTAGCAATTCAGCATTGGCGCCCTTATCTGTGGGGCAGACATTTTACGTGCGTTACTGATCATGCCGCGTTGCGTTATCTCTACACGATGCAATACACGTCAAACATGCTTACACGCTGGGCGATAGCGCTGCAATCATTCGACTTCACGGTAAAACATAAACCAGGAAAGTTGCATGTAGTGCCTGACACGTCATCGCGTCTTTTTGTGTTTGTGTTTGAATAAGACCAAGAACGCGAAACACCAACTCTTGCTTCGATCTGCCACAACGTACCGGAAAACCCGGAGTTGCAATTGCCACGCCCAGCAGATATTACGACCTGTCGCCAGACAAGCTTGATAGTGTACAACATGTGACTAGCGACCGCGAGTTGTTTACTGTCAGTGATTCGTTCGCCAGTGTGACAGAAGTGTTTGAATCTGTTGATCGTAACAAACTGCACGCGAAACAAGCGGAAGAATATGGCGAGTACATCGAATACATAACGAACAACAAAGCACCGCTCCCTCAACACAAAACGGCAACAACAATGTCGTACTATTCCGTACAAAAGGGTCTCTTGTTCAAGTCGTATTTGCCAGGACACCTTCGGAAAAGGAGTACATTTCGGGATCAACTAGTGTTGCCACATGCCTTAACGGGTTTGGTGATGCATGCTTACCATGATCATGCCCTTTCGGGAGGACACCTCGCTTACCGACCAACGTAAGAAAAAGTTCGTCAAAAATACTAGTGGAAATCTATGAGCCGTGACATCCGAACTTGGTGTGAAGAGTGCCAAGCTTGTCAACGTAGGAAAACGGCCCACCGCCGTCTGAAGTTACCGACAGGTCATGTACCTGTGCAACGACCGTTTGAACGAATATCGGTCGATCTGGTAGAGTACAAAACCCTATCAGAATCAGCAGAAGGTGTAAAGTGTAAGTATGTCCTGTCAACGATGGACCATCTCACACGCTTCGCAATCTTGAGACCCATTCCGAACAAGTCTGCTGAAACGGTAGCTCGGGTAATAATTGATCGGATAATAGTCTAAGCATCTTTGGACCACCAGAAACGTTGCACTCTGATCAAGGCACCGAATTTGAAAACAAAATCATTTTCCAGTTACAGGAAATCCTCGGGTACAAGAAAACCCGGACGACACCGTATCGGCCACAAGGCAATTCAGTGTCAGAACGAGTGCACTCCACAATGAACGCAATGCTGCGATGCACAGTTCTATGGAGCGAAATAACTGGGCGGGACTCTTCCCGATGGTACAACTAGCGTACAACACATCGGTCGTCCCGGTGGTCTAGTGGGTAGCCTCGCAGCCTGCCAAGGGCCAGGTAATGGGTTCGAGTCTAGACAGAGTGAGTTTTTTCTCACTGAATAAATCCTGGTCTCCGCTGGAAGCGACGCGCTGCAGAAGCTCGTTGTTAGTAAACTTCATCGACTTCTTAAGTCTCGAGGGAAGGGATTGCTGTACCCTTCTCGCGATAAAAATATCTCAGGCAGGAACCGCAGGAGGGGGTCCAACCCCCCCTCCTATGTGACCCCGGTTGGGTCATCTAGCTGGTAGAAGTGGAGGATAGGGGCCAGAGGGGCAAACGACAGAGTCCAACGATGGGAGACAACAAACAACCAAACAAAAAACATCGTTTAATTCAACCATGCATGAGACACCGTTTTCTTGATGTTCGGTCGCCAACCACGTTTATTCTTGGGATACCACATGTCGGGGCAACCGCCGATACCGAAAGTTTTTCCCAACAAACACGAGACAATCTGCAGATCGATTTTGAACTCGCGCGTCGAAACCTGACGGAACGTGCTGAAAAACAAGCTGCGAAAAACAAAAAGCTGCCGCAGCATCCAGTGTTCAAACCTGGGCAAGAAGTGCTAGTATACAAGCCATACCAGGACACTGACGGACCAAACCCGAAACTGCAGATTGAAGTCCGTACTAAAGCAGCCAGTACAGCACAGTACTGAGGGCCGTGTTGTCAGTACAGTACATTCCAGTATCGGGAGCTGTACTCAAAGTACTGAAACTTTTATTCCAGTATCGAGAGCTGTACTAAAAACAGCCAGTACATTCCAGTATCAAGAGCCGTACTAGGGGTGCAGTTTATTCCAGTACCGCGAGCTGTACTATAAGTACTGAAACTTTTAAGCTGTACTAAAAGTGCTGAAACTTTTTATTCCAGTATCGAGAGCTGTACTAAAACAGCCAGTACATTCCAGT